GTCGCGACCCACAGGTTGAGAACCCCTGTTTTAGGCGGAACAGTCCTACTTGCTGTACAAACCTGTGATAATCTTTTGTTACTCAAATGAACAGTCTGTTATATTGAGAGGGTGACCCATGATAATTACATCTACAAAAAATAAAAAAATCACGACCTGCCATTTAACACAAGATTTGGGGAAATAGAACATGGATGGAAAAACATTGGCACTCCCAGAGCTTTTTCGGCATTTCCAGGGACATAAGGGAAGATTACTTTATGTTGGACGATCTCGAAACATTGGAATAATGGTCTGTGTGCTTGTGTGGCGGGCAGTGGTTACCAGGATGCCTGTGGGCCCTGCTGGGGTGCGTGGACCCAGGCTCCGTGCAATCGATTGGGCGCTTGGGTTTCCTTACACCCAGGGGAGCCTGTGTTTAGGATGGAAAATAATGCCATGCAAACACACTGCTTAGGGACCCTGGATATGGGAAAGATCTTTTTGATATTGACCTTTTAATAAAAAAATGAGAATCCTGTCTACGCAGCGTGGTTCTGTAAACATGTAGAGCTGAGCTCGATGACAGTGGAGCCGGAAACTTCTGTAGGATTAAGACTTTCTGTTTTTATGAAAGAAAAATATTTTAACTCTTCCCGGGGCATTTACAAATCTTTTCTGTTTCTCCTCCTGCCTGGTCTGGCTTTGATGGCCGATGGCTGACCCTCTGCTCGGCTCAGAGCAGACCCTGAGAGGTAGTTGCCGCTCACCGAGACTTACCCTCGGAGGTGGTGGCTCCCTGGAATCCGAGGCCAAGAGTCTGGGGAGAAATCCCTGGGGGCTGTCGCCTTTTTCAAGGGGAGGAACTTGAAGAGGTCACCTTAGTGACAGAATTGTCCACAAAAGAACTGCAAGATCCACAAGCGAAACATATGACTTATAACTTTCTTTTTTTAAAAATCTTTGTTGAAAGTATGCCACAGATACTCCCACTAACCTCTTCCAGCCTGCTCCGCCCCCTCACCACCTCACTGTCTGTGTCCGTGGGTCATGCCTATATGCACACAAGTTCATTGTCTGAGCTCTTCCCACCCCCCTCCCTCCCCGCCTTCCCTCTGAGGTTCAATAGTCTTGGCTTATTACTTCCTAAGCATAAGACCAAACCCGTTTCTGCAGCCAGTGTTACATTTGATCCCACATAAGCCACCCTTATGGAAACACAGTGCATTGTGGTCATAATAACAGTAATAATAGCCAGCATGTAGTGAAAGCTTTTATCTCCCAGACACGGCTTTTATGTGCTTCACGTGTGTCCACTAATTTCCTACATCATCTTTCAGTGCCTGGGGTCATCGCTGGAACCGAGTCAAACGCTGTCATCAGCGTGTGTGGGAGCGTTGCTGTCTCTGCATGTTTATGATGATTACAGGCATCACGTCGTGGGTCAGCTCGCTGGGCGGAAGGGTTTCCAGGCCCCGGACCGGGTTCTGTCCACGCTGTTTCTCTCTACGTCCACGGCTCTTGCGGCAGCTGAGTGGCTCTTTCCTATGGACTGGACTAGAAGTGAAATTTAAATTAGATGTAGATCTTTTTAAAAAATATATATTTTTTTTATTGATTTCAGAGGGCAAGGGAGAGGGAGAGAGAGATAGAAACATCAATGATGATTGAGAATCATGGATCGGCTGCCTCCTACATGCCCCGCACTGGGACCGAGCGCACAACCTGGGCATGTGTCCTGCCCAGGAATGGAACCATGACCTCCTGGTTCATGGCCGAAGCTCAACCACGGAGCCACACTGGCCTGGCAGATATAGATCTTTATTATAAGGTCTCTAAAATCCTGTTTTACTATTTCTGCCCCCACCCCTTGGGACCTATACGGGCTAAATATTGAGAATTTCCTTCCTAAGAAAGGAGGGAGCATGTGTGCTGTGTGCCGTTGGGTTGGCGTCCCCTCCTGGCGACCCTGTGAGTGAGCGCCGTACCCCTAAACCCCCTTTCACAGCAGCTGGGCTCAGCTCTTACACTCATGCCAGTGGTGTCTTCTATGGAGTCAGTCCCTCTCAGGTTTGGCTTCCCTCTTTTCCTGCTGCCTTATAGTTTCTCAGTATTATTATTTTTTCCAAAGAACCCTGCCTCCTCACGATGTGCCTGAAGTGGGGCGTCTTCATAGTTTGGTCATTTGGCTCCCGGGATATTCACTTCCGTTGCTCTGGGACCCACTTGCTCACCTCGCTGGCGGTCCAGGCACCGTAGAGCTGTCCTCCAACCGGTTTCAGATGCATCTGTTTCTCCTGTTGGCCCTCTTTGCATCTGTCCTAGACATGGTGCCCGTGGTACCATGGGTGTGGATGGCCTTAGCCTGGTCTCTAAGGACCCGTCTTTGCCCTTAAGTGCATCCTGGGGAGCAGAGTCCTGCCGCAGGCCCAGGTACCCCTTACCACAGCTCCTTCCTTCCC